ATACGACAAATAAAATATACATATGATAATAAAATGTAACAATAATAAGTAATAAATTTATTCATTCATAAAATAATTCTCTCGTTTATTACAAATCTATCAAAAAATTTTTTGTGTATATAGAAGATTTTTTATTTATTTTCTAATTTAGAATTTCATCATCATTAATATTTACGTTTGGTGCCTGTATTAGTTAATGATCGATATTATCCGTTGTATCGAGATATTTTTATTATGCTCGAACATATAGATTTTAAACCCCCCCCCGCTAAATCGAATATATATGAAAAATCCGTTAAATCCGTTAAACTGAGATAAAATAATTATAGAAAGATTTGGTTTTGAAAATTTATCCGCTAAATCGAGATCCGCTAAATAGAGATACACTGTGTATGTTGCACACCAAATTCAAAATCGTAATTGTCATGTGTGAAATCAATAATAGAACTTATTTGGCTTTTATGCAACAACTACATAGAATATTCCTATTCATTTACGCAAAATGATCAAGTTTGTGAAGATTATGCAGATTTATATAAAACTTTATTTGTTAAAATTACTAAATTGATATTTATCAAAATTACACGAAAATTAAATTCACTGGGTTGAAAAAAAAAATAAAATTAAATAGCAGGTTGGTAGTTGGTGCTCAAATAAGGTTGATTATTTGTATCAGATTGAGTGTTTGAATAAGATTGTGGAATTTGAAATTGTTGATGAACAGGTTTCTGCTGGTTGGTCATTACTGTGTTCATATTTTCATTATCGTTGGAACCATTGATGTCACCGCCTCCTTCACTTACAGCTTGATTTCCTTTGTAAAATGCAAAAACTGACAAGAGTGAGAATATAAGGGAAATAATCACAAGACCAAATGCACCAGCTTCAAGTTTCAAATCTTTTCCATTATAATCATTAAACCAATTTTGGAGTTTTAAAAACATATCAATTTGTCCTGACATTGCTAACAAAATGATAAAAGAATTGAATAATGCAAATACCCATGTCATTCCTTCATTCACAACATGACTACGTGCATAAATTCCAATGTAAAGCAACCTTAATGATGTTATTACGCCTAAAAATATATTTAACAATTATTATACTGTATATAATATATTTCACACTTTAGTGGTATGATTAATCAGTAGACACATTACCAACAGCATGCATAATCAACAAAAATTTTGTACCGTCAAAAATGTTTGAAGGTGTAAAACTATCCACGCAATAATATTTATAAGAATTAAAACTATGATCATCATTACTATTACTTTTATTAAGTTGCGTACACTCGCCGTATATTCCAAATAACCTCTTGCCGCTCCCTACTCCATAATTCCCATATTCCTGATAGTTATAACTCGGATCCCTATAACTCGCAATATAAATTGATTTGATAATTGGCGTCCCCAAGTTCACTAATAAAAGACACAGGAGCGAGATAAATGACATACCAGCCGCAACAGTGTTTGCAGTTTTAGCGGAAATAGCGAAACCCATTTCTATCTCTTATAAAGATGATATTTTTTAATAAAGAAATTTTAAAACAGGATAACAGAAAACGATTCTTTGGTGATAAAAAATCTTGGATTCAAAAACCAAGCGGAGTTATATATAAATTTCCTCATCTAAATGTATTTTTGTACTCCTCATTCCAAATATTGAAACCAATTTTATTTTTTTCATTTTATTCGTTGTGTTCATCAGAAAATAATGATTGTTCTAAATGCTAAAAACAGTGTTATTGTTTTAATCATTCGCTTAATCGAGATTTTTAAATAATACTAATTAATACCCAATACTGATACTTCATTTTCCTACCAAAAATCGTACTATAGATAGATATAGTCATAACTGATAAAGAGAATCAATTCAAGTAAGTATATATTAATATACTTGATATTTCCTAGCCTCTAATTTAATACTGTTTATTTTTATTTTGTAAATTAGAATCAAGTTGAGCGCAATTATGTGCATTATAATAAAAATATTAATGGTGTGAAATTCAAAAACATCAACAAATCTAACACTAATTAATATCATTATTAATATGTACGGTTTTTTTAATGGATGTTACATGGAATACTGAAAGGGAAAATTTACCAAAAAAAAAAAATAAATAACAAAAAAAATTAAAAGAAATAAAAACAAAAAAAAAATATTCAGAAGATAAGTATTCATTTTTTAAAATAATATATTAAACAGTAATTTATGATTTTAAGAATCTTACCAATATTTTAATTGCAGCATTCTCTCTATTAGTGGGGACATTATCTTCGATCTCTACTATACAGTCAAACTAGATACATTACACTACAACATACTCAAAAATGAAAACAACATGACTTTTTTTCACAGACTAGTAGGATTATGAAAATATGGATTTTTTTTGCAATTTAGTGATTTTAGTGATTTTTAGTCACAATTTTTTCACAACTGGTATTTATTACCCACAAAAATCTCTCTATACAGTCAAACTAGATACATTACACTACAACATACTCGAAAATGAAAACAACATGACTTTTTTTAACAGACTAGTAGGATTATGAAAATATGGATTTTTATTATTCTCGTTGCAATTTAGTGATTTTAGTGATTTTTAGTCACAATTTTTTCACAACTGGTATTTATTACCTGCAAAAATCTCTCTATATAGTCAAACTAAATACATTACACTACAACATACTCGAAAATGAAAATGACGTGACTTTTTTTCACAGACTAGTAGGATTATGAAAATATGAATTTTTATTATTCTTGTTGCAGTATGGTGATTTTAGTGATTTTTAGTCACGATTTTTTCACAACTGGTATTTATTACCCGCAAAAATCTCTCTATACAGTCAAACTAGATATATTACACTACAACATACTCGAAAATGAAAACGATATGACTTTTTTTCACAGACTAGTAGGATTATGAAAATATGGATTTTTATTATTCTCGTTGCAATATGATGATTTTAGTGATTTTTAGTCACGATTTTTTCACAACTGATATTTATTACCCACAAAAATCTCTCTATACAGCCAAACTAGATGTATTATACTACAACATACTCGAAAATGAAAACGACATGACTTTTTTTCACAGACTAGTAGGATTATGAAAATACGGATTTTTATTATTCTCATTGCAATTTAGTGATTTTTAGTCACGATTTTTTCACAACTGGTATTTATTACCCACAAAAATCTCTCTATACAGCCAAACTAGATACATTACACTACAACATACTCGAAAATGAAAACGACATGACTTTTTTTCACGGACTAGTAGGATTATGAAACAATTATTATTTTCCTTCCTTGTACGATCATAAAAAAAAATATCTTAGTGATCGACATTATGTGACCTCACTTAATTTTGATTTAATTAGATTGTGACACCCCCCAATAAAATATGGGTGCGTTAATAGATATTACTACTAATGCCGGCCAGTAGAAAACCTTTGGCCGGCTAAGAACTTTGACAAATAATATGTATATTCACTAAAAAATAATAGTTTATAAA